GCTGCTGTAACGTCCACACGGGTCATGTTGACATGTTTGTAACATATAGTTACATTTCTTGACATTGTTTTTCATACATTGTTCTAACTTGACATTTGCTTTTTCCTTTACAATTGTTAGTGCTAGGACCGTGCGAGACTTTGCCTCACCATTTCTTTTCTAATTACCCATATTCTGACAGTTTGAGTATTTGTGCGACCCACGCAAATGTTCTTTAGGTTGGTATTGTTCGTCGAATCAGTCAGCCTCACCTGTTAATTGAGCCGACTGTAAACCGACACATGCGTACTGCCTTCAGAACGGGTCCGCTCAAACTGTTGTGGTTCTTTCCTCAAAAGGCCACTACAGAAAGAACTTGCACGGTTCTCACACATAATCTTTTATACATATTGTCTGGACTTTAAAAGAGACAGACCTCTGAGTTTGTTTCGGCATTTCTTCTCAGAGTAGTCAGTTAGGAAATGTCGACCTCATCGTTCGCTTGATAAAATTGACGTGTAAAAGTGCTGCTTTGTAGCCTATTTGCAGAAATAAATTCACTTGTTTCACTTGTTTCACTTGTTAGCATAAATTTCATTTGTTTTATTTTGTTATGAATATGAATACTATAAAATATATAGTTTTAAGTTGATTTTTAAAGGTCTGTACGGCACGAACATTAACTTTTCATCAGGTTTTAAAACCGATTCCGTGTAAAACGGTTCATTCCGCTCACGCTACAAAAGTCAGAAATTGAAAAATCCAATCACAACTTACTTGACCCTAGATTTGATCCCAAGACTTTATAGTCAGTTACAATGTTTGAAACGAACAGCATTGTAACAGGAACAAAAAAGAAACATATTTTCCATGAAATTCGAAAGTAAATATTTCTATACGTAGCAACCGTAAAACATTGTATTCCTTTCGACACGAAATAATATTGTGTATGAAATCTTAAAGCCGAAATATACTCGATAATACGACGGTGGGTTAACCCTTGCACATACATCAAGTGGACTAAGACCCCAGTCGAACGTACACACAGTGGTATCTGCGCGCGATAGGGCCGAAATATACCGCTCTCACTGTTTCCTTTCATTTAGATACGCTCCGTTTCGGTCCTTTATCCCCTTTCCTCAATTTTGTCTTCATCTTTTTGCCCCACTTCCACGGCCGCATTACTTAATACAATGAAATTTTTGTCCTTAACTTGCTTGAATGAATGCTTTTTGGGGATTATTATTTTTTCTGTTGATGATTTCAGTTGAAATTGTCTCATCCTGACACTTCAACTCATTTTATTTTATGAATTAAGATTGCTTCGGTTTAATTGTATTTTTGTTGTATGTTTTATTGAAATGATACGCATAATATTCCTCATTGATTTTATTACTATGTCTGTATTCTTATAAATCGTTAGGTAACATATTTAAATACATCTACAATTTGATAGTTTATTACACAACCCTTTTGTTAACTACTTTTAAAAGATGGCGACGTTCGAAACCGTTGCCAAAGTAATCTGAATACATAAAATGTATTTTTGGCTGTCAAGACATTACAAACATAACATTAAATTCATAATTATTATTTACATCGTTAATATTTACAATTGATCAGCTATTATGTACAGGATACGAGCTAAATCTTATTCAAACATGATTTCATTTAATAAATATTTAAAATACAAAGGTACCAATGTCTATAAATCATCTAGAGAAAATTAACATTTTATACAATTTAAACTTGCCTTTGACAAGCATTTTACTTAAGTTTTAAACAGATGTAAACATCTAAAAAGTAATAAAGATTTAATATTGACATAAGTAGTAGCAAAGTGTCTTCGAGTTTTTTACTTGAAAGGTCGTCAAATTGTTTTTGTTTGCCCCGGACATAAGTAAGGGTAGAAAGAGCAGGAATAAAAACAAAATGGACTGAGAGCAATGTTTAGTACCTATCTGCCAGATTCGCTACATGAAATGAACTTGAAACAAATGAAGCCTAAGGTACGTAATTTGTTTCTTGCTGTCACTCGAGACAACTTTTCGGAACGATGCCTTTTATTCTGGCCAGTAAAGCAACCCTAATTCTAAACTTTGATTGTGTAATTTTATTCCGGAGTAAGACAGTGGAATGTGAAAAAGTCAGACGAATTTACAAAAAGGTATGCGCAGTTTAAAAGTCCAGGGAATTTGCGTTGGGATTTTTGTGAAGAGACCGTATCTCTATTGTAGTATAGTTGGAACACAAATTTTGTGGCGACAAACTTGGGATGATTGTGAACACTCTGAGAGCTCATGTTAACGCTACTTGATGTCAAGAGACGTTGTAAGGCTCATTACAAAGCCACTCAAAGATTGACGACTTCTATAAATTCTTAGAACTTTCGTCGAACCCGAAGTAAAATGGTTCTGTGGTGGCTGAGAAATCAACTCAATTTAGTCCCATTTTATGTTTGAGCGCACTGGAGATGAAATCGTTTGAAGATTGGGTCATTCTCTTGGAAAACATTTAGTCTTTAGGTACTGAGATTTCCTTTACAAATTGCAACAAGAAAATTCTAATATCTCGTCAACAACCAATTGTTTAATAAAAGATGGCGTCGTAATTTAATTTATGAACGTTTAATCTATTCTTTAACTGAAAGATGACATCCAATTAAACTGGTTAGCGACAAAATTAAACAAAAATGATAATAAAATAAACAAGTCATTTGATTTTTAGAAAGTTTGTTTTATCATTCAACTTTATAATGCTATATAAGAGTCAAGACTTTTGGAAGATGAGATTACTGTTTTTATTTGTTCATAGTTAGTGAAACTTGTAAATACAAAGATGGTTATGTAGTAGTTACCAGCAATACTAATGTACGCTTGTATGCATTAGTACAGACGTTGTTTGTTCGACTTGATCGAACGCAAATAATGTGGCAAAGAGAGCAACCAGCAGCTTAGATATACGTTACGCATAGATAAGGTTCACTTCGATTGAATCTCGGTATATTCCTGTGTTGGACTAACGAAATCGATTTGCTTGTAATCTCGGCACCGGATTAAGACGACGAACGTAGTTAGCTGTGAGAACAAAGGAGATTCAGCCTCGGATAAATCATCAGAAGGATTATCTCATGCGTGCCGTATTAATCTCTCTGGTCGTTATTTATCGAAATTACTAAAACGATCCTGTCTGTTACAGATACAATAGAAATTTAGAGATTTATAAACAACAATATCATTTTTTAAATTGACCATTATGCTATTGATTTATCGCCTTAAAATTACCTCACAGGAAACATTACTGTCTATATTTATCGTTGTATTTTAAATACGTTCAACTCAGATAACGTAACCCGAGGGTCCGACACAATTTCGTTTGTTCACTCAATCATATAAAATACTTCCTTAGTTTAAAACGTTTGGGAAGTCGCGTTTGCACTAATAGGTCATCTTGAAGATGTGGGTTCGATGTGAGCTGTCGTAAATTTTGATAGGAATTTGACGAGAGCGTTGGCGAATAGTAAGGTAATGAGTAGTGTTGGGATGGAGACGTAGTGCGCGGCGACCGGGAGGGAGACGAGGAGCACTGGTCGTGGCTGGCGCAGCGTGGTGAGCGCGGTGAGCGTGGCGAGGATGGCGCGGTTGAGGCGTGGCGGGGTCGAGCCCGAGCTCTGCATCGCCGCCGGCCGCTCCCCGCTCAGCACGTGGACTATCACCGACGCAGATTCTGTATAACAAAGTTATGTCATAAATCATCTTATCTAATGTCACGTCCCTTTATCGATTGTTCGTGGGTACCCCCGATTGTTCATAAATGATACAAAGGGCGGTTGAATCTCATCCCTTAAAACGTTATAGCAGATAAATCTAATATTACTAAGTAATTGAGTAGTACTTTGAGAACCCTTTCAGAGTGTTAATCATCACTATCTACTTAAAAATGGGGTAAAAGTTATAAGATATTTCAATAGTAAACTTTTAGTTCAGAATTATTGTAACACATTTCAATGATTTATGAATAAAGATGAAAATGAAACGTGGAATAAATGAGTGCATTTTGTAAAGCCCTGATAAATCAAATGTCTTAACGTACTACTAGCCTACATTTTAAAGTAGTTTTTCAAAGTATACGACGGCGCTAGTAATGCATTAACCTAAAAACAAAATATGAACACTTCATTATGTTAATTGTGTGCTGCATTGTAATCACTAATAAATACAGTAATTTTCCGTAACTGACGGAATTGTTAGGAAAATATTTTTAGAATTTGCAAACAACATTAAACATTGACATTTCTTAAACTAGTGCCATTAAACGACGTCAATTAAAAAGTTGGCAGCAGTTTAAACAGTCGTGGGTAATTCTGGAACATAGCAATAATGTTAAGCTACTGTGTAAGAATCCAGACTGGAATAATTACACAGCAGTTTGCAGCAAATCCTTGTAATGAATAATTTTAATACGAAGCACTGAATACGGCAATCTGTGAGTTGGTATTGTACCGGTACAGAGAGGGTTTCATTTCAGAGGGAAAGAGGGATTTAAAAATACATTCCACGGGAATGGTTCCACTTCCATATTTAAATATAACGTTTATGGTATTTTATATTTATGATACTCATTTTTTTGAATACCCATGACGAATACATACATTTGTCTTTCTGAATCAGTAATAGACGAGAATGCATAATTTTCTCAATTTGTTTCAGCTAAAATATTCGCAAGCTTTTTCTAACATACTTAACCGTATTGTGTGTTACAAATGAACTAAATAATAAACTGAACATACCAAATAGTTGATCCCTTCGATAATGAGGGTAAAATCGATAGTCGTAACAATGAAATATTGACCCGTTTTCCGACTTTAATCGGTTATAAAATTTATGCGTCTGGCCTATTTCTCAGTTCAAACGTTATGGTGTTTGGGCTCCTTATAATTAAAGAAATAATTAACATGTATTTGAGGCAATATACTACTGAAATACGAGTATGATTTGGGCTTTAACACAGTATAAGGTAATGTTTTCCTTATAGCTGGAGGCAGAAATGTATTTTACAGGCACACTTTCCGTTAGGTATCTTATTAGTTACCAACTAGACAGCCCTTGGGCTAAAAACGGTACAAATTCTTACATCGTTGTTACAAGATAATAAACTTACGTAATTTACCTGGTAAATACTTTAGCTTACTGGTAAATGTTACTGATGTGTTGATATGTTGATTAAAAAAGATACGGACTGTCTTGGTTTTATCTCGATGTGGTTTGCCAACGCTTTGCTACGTATTTCGTAGTCTGTTGCTACGTAGTAGCATATTGCTACGAAGATGCTACGATGAATATTTTTGGTTAGCTATCAAAATTATCAAAAGATAGACTATATAGTGATACAAATAATGTTCAAATTATATTGTCTTCATACCTGAGCTGCTTGGTGCACACGTATAGTTCCCTGAGTCGTGGGGAGCGGCGCGTGCTATGAGAAGCCGGCTGGTGCGCGTGCGCTGCTCAGTCTCCACGCTTATACCACCTCGTTGAGCATAGTTCACCACTTGTTCTCCTCGATACCAGTAGATGAAGCTAGGACATAAAAATAAGAGTTAATATAGTAATTTACATTAAAAATATAATAGTCATAAAATAGTTTGTATTTAATTTTAAATTTTATTTAATATATTTCTGTAAAAGATTATGTAATAAGAAAACCATTAAATACTTTAATCACTGAGACACATAAACACGTTGAAAATAAATGTTATTACTATTAAAATCTCTAAATGTTATTCAAGTAAATTTTGGTTTTCATTCAATTGATTGCATATTTTTTATGAAATACATTTTATACGTTTATGAATTAATATTTAAAGCAAGCGGTACATAAAAATCAAGTTTACTTGGTATTATAAACGTCAACAGATTATACGATTGAAATCAAATTAAAATATAAGTTTTTATACAAATAAACATATACATGAATTTCAATTAAATAAAAGCATATATTTTTGTTATTCTTTATTTCTAAAGACTTTAATTCAATGTTATGTCAACTGTGATTTGAAATCTGTTAAGTGGTCACAAAGTTCTTATGTTTGTTCGAGCTTTAAAAAAAGGAAAATACGGTATCTTTTAATTTAACTCGTTGAATACCGTCATTATAGACACAATTAAACTGTCAAACACCAAGCGGTCACCGGTGACCGCAACCTATTGTTCTATAATTGTGTCTACAAAACCGGTACTCGACGAGTTAAAGAACAAGACTGCCTCGTTGGCCGATTGGTCGCAAGTGCGATTGCTGGGCAAAGGGTCTCGGGTTCGATTCCCGGGCCGAGCAAAGTATTACTGGGTTTTAAAAAAAAATCTCAATAGTAGCACGTAGTCTGGAGTTGTGCCCGGTATATGGCAATAGGCTCACCCCCTATTACATGGGACTCATATCATAAATAGTGAAAAGTGGGTGTTACATTGTACAGTGGCATAATGTGCACCTCTGCCTACCCCTTCGGGGATAAAAGGCGTGATGTTATGTTATGTTATGTTATAGAACAATAGGTTGCGGTCACCGGTGATCGCTTGGTGTTTGACAGTTTAAAAGTGTTTTGTGGTTAATTGACGGTCGATGGCACAATCGCAAAATAAAATGAGGTTAAAAAAGGTCTAGAACCAGATTAAGAATCCACACTATGATAATGATAATAAGAATCTTAACCAATTTTATAACTAAATAGAAGACCTTTGCACAGCTTACATTGAAACATCGTTACATAAAACCTGAGCCAGCAAATTTGAGAGACTTAAAATGTTGACGCTCTCTATATTTGCCTACGGGCACGAGCAGATTACTTGATTAAAATTTCATCGTGTCTATTAATGTACAAAGGTTCTAATTTAAGACATTAACAAATTTCATTCACGAAGATAACAAAGCGTTTAAATTGACAAACTTAAATACTAAGTTTTCGAACAAACTTGATAGGTTTGCTTTTAATTATTTTTGTATAGATTGTGTACATGAATCCAACACCTTTGGCCGCCTGACTCGACTATAATTACAGGTATTTACCGTTCCACGCCTATTCATTACGTCCAAGGATGTGTTTCCTACTGAAGCCTGTAATTTGAGTTTAATGAGCGCTATATTTGGGTCACACTGTTTCAACTACTAAGAAATGTGTCTGATACATTGGAAATGTGAAACTTCGTCTTACTTACTGGATTATTTATTCGTCCCAAACGTATTTCGGGCCTGACCTCAGCCATTTATCCTGTTTATTTATAAATTCACTTAAAAGAAAGATACGAGCGCTTTAGGAAATTTCAATTTATATTCATTCATTTCCCATTGTGCTACGAACTTGTATTTGCAGGAAAAAATATGCTTTGTGAGCGCCACACTCATAATAATCACGAGTCATGTGATACTCCACAAACAAAAGACCAAACGCTATACGAGAGTAGTGTCACACCGCAGTTACTGCGAAAAATACATTAATTATATGTTGGTGGGCTTGCCTCAATTAACACAGCGAGGCTGTTTGGGAAACTTTGTCATTGAGTGAGCACCTATAAATAATTCACGAAACATCTGAATAAAAAACGATATCTGTCCACACAGAGCGTATCGCCTTTTCAATATTCAAATTGAAGGTCCCTCGATAGATCTCAGACATAGGCCACCATTAAACGTTGATAGCCAAAGAATACCTCACTTAGGGACCTCAGTCGACCCTTTTATCTGAAAATAAGCTTATCATGTTTATGGATGCGAAGACTAAATGTATAGGTACGGTGCGGTGTGAAAGGTGCCTACACGATAACACACTTCCATTATAAGATCGTAAGGTGGGGGGCGGGCTCGCCTATTCACACCACAACGATTTGTGTCGCGTATTTATTCAGAGTTACACAACCGCAAACATCAATAGCGAAAATCGAATTTTTTGTCGCCCGTATTATTTTTAGCCGTATTTGTTTTACATACACACGTAATTAATTTACGCTAACGTTTTTGAGCATGGATCGTGTTTTGTATTCTCGTATAAAATATGTGGAGAGTCTGGCTGTCGTTTTACTTTATTAAAATTTTGTTTTGTATTTATTTTATGCCGAAAGTAAGTTGTATCATTCATTTCATTCGCAATAAAGGTCTTTGTTTGCTAGTAAACTAGTAGTAAAATGTGTTGCAACCTCTACAATGTAACGTCGGCACGTTGCCCAAAAATGATACTTTTGTAGGTCGCAGAGTGCGGGCAAATTTGATCTAACTGAACAAGATGGTCTCATTACACATTTGTCACGTACGCTGACACAAAAGTCCCGCTCGAGAGTTATTTCTTACTTCCTCGTTTTTTATGTTGGCAACCCACACTTTCATGTTACTGCCCAAGCCGAGTGGGTATATAGCACCTTTTCCATTTCCTTCATAGGCCATATAAAAGTCAAAATGTTCTTGCTTTCGTATTTTTATATCGGACAACTTGTTTAAGAAAGTTGGTGCAAAAAGGCAGAATTTATTTCAATAGACTTTAATGAAACCACAAAAAATGCTGGAATAGCCTGAATAAACATTGCTTTTTCAGCTTCGTACACAAAATGAAAGTAAAAAAATGAAGGTGCTTGGTAAAAATAAATTACGAAGCTAATAATGTCTAGAAAGTGTATTATAAAATAAAGCAGGAATTTTACAGCGATTAATCTAGTTTTTTAATGTCTAAAGCTAGCAGGATGTCTAGATTTTTCACATTAGTTACCTCGGCGGGTCAGGGGCGTACTTCGCCACGCAAGTAAGATTGATGTCTGATCCAGCTCTGACGAACAGCTCCGGTCCTGAGAGAATCTCCGCCTTTGACACTGTTGGAAAACGCATACTATTAACAAAACGATAACTGTAAATGAAATCTACCTACTACATCTTTTCCATTTAGAAAACATGTACTGTTTTATTTATTTCATACATTTTTCCAACCCCAATGATTGAATGAATTCGAATTTAGGTCGAAGTCCTTATACTCGTTTTTTACAACAACACTACACCAGCAGAGCGTAGATCAATATAACTTTAATTAGAATAGATTTCGCTCCAGGTTCAGAAAATCCTAGAGCAGAAAAAACAAATCTGGATTTCGAGATAGTTCCACTATAGAAAAACTCATGAATATGTTAGTGTATCCCTACTTACATATTTATTTACATTTAGTCATCATCATTTATTTAGCTACGGACGCTAAACCTTTGCGACCTTAGGGTCTTATCACACTAGCGATTTAAGGGCGGAGCGAGAGCAAAGCAACGATTTTTCTCGAGTTGCGTAATAGGGGTGTATGTTTCAGCTGGGTCTAGTCAGCTAGAAGACTTTGCAGAGTCAATGAGACTACATATATTAGGTGAACCTGCGATCTTTTGGCTGCATCTTATATATGGACTTATTCTTGTCGAGCCAAATGAAAAATATTTTTTCAGTCACACTCAAATCGCCAAAATGATATAAACGTATTTAGCAGTGGTCAGGCTAATTAGTAGCAAAATAATTCTCATATTTTAATACATTGATATGTTAAAAGATTACCCACAGAGTATTTATAAATAACCAGTGACCACATTCAACAATCCGACATTCATTTTAAGCTAAATCCAAAATAAAGTTCTGACAATGTTGTTATGCGCAATTTTAACCGTCATTTCAATTCATAACGCCGAAATTTCATAATACTTGTGAATGAATAAATGATGTCAGTAATTTATGAATTACATTGGATTTTAATAATTATACACTCTCGCCAATGTTTTCAGTTTTCAATAAAACTGTTAATTTGTGGCATTTACTAATTAGTATCGACATGCAGTTCCTAATTAAATAGTCATGTGCTTTTTGATATCAGTGATGAACGTGTGGATAAATCATGACAATTCCCCAAAGGGTTCAATCAGATGTGAATTTGTTAATATATGTGGGACTAAAATAAATATTCCCAAGCCTTGTTAGTCACCAATCAGCGGACATAATTCTTCCAGACACAGTTGGCTGACAATTTGAAAATCTTGGAACTCAACCAACAGAAGACAATATGCAATTTCGGTTAAGATATTTTTCAATAGATTTATTCTATACAATGGTATTATAACATAATGGGCCAAAATTTTATGTTTTTTTTTTATAATACACATTTAGAAATACTGATATGAAAGAGCACTTCGTAGGCACTATAGCCATTAAAATAATGTTTTGGACAGAATCTTGGCATCGAGACTACTTCGATTTACCGGGTTAGCGCTCAAGTAAACCGCTTAATCAGCAGATATAGGTGCTTGAATAAGTTGAAAGTGCTCAGAACTCATATCGTTTTACGTTTTAAGTCTATCCATGTAGTTTTCTTTGACTGTCCAAATTTTGTCTTGGACTTGGTGCTCATTGATTTAAGGTCGATTTCTGTGTGAAGTATCAAAGACAATATATTCTTTAGTACTGTAATAAAGATAAAATTAGTTCTTATTACTTACCAACAACGGTGAGTCTAAATGATAGACTAATCTTTGGTTCAGTAGACACTTGGCACTCGTATGCGCCGGAGTCGCGTGGTTGCGCAGGCGCCACTCGCAGCGTCCATTCATCGGAACCATCAGCATGTAGCGCAGCGAATCTTGCGTCACTGCTGTATGTGTGCACACCTACTGTCAAGATGTGTAGGTCTCTCTTGCGTATCCATGATACCTAGAGGAAAATATGTAATTACTATAAAAATATTTTGTATAAAATTTTGCATTGCAACGCTAATATTGCGGTCTTTATACCGATATATTCGCCGTGTAACCACGTGTAGGAATATTTTTAACCTCTATATGAATGTATTATGATATCTGCAGAAGAGTGGGAATCTCTGCGTAAAGAACACCTACAAGTTAGCAACCACCTTAAATATCATATCGTGGTGGGATGTGTAAAGCTAACCTTGTTATGTAGGTAATACCCACACGTCTTAATTAAGTTCACTTCATCTGTGGGATTTCAAAAGAAGTGTATAATATTTTTCTTAAAAGTGAGTAGGTAGACAAGGAGAAAACACAAAACCATATTGAGTCCTATTAACCATCATAATTTCCTATATGTTAATCTGCCTCTGTAAAGAAGCTGGTTTCTCAATTCGACTGTATTTTATAAATATATTGACAAATGATGAAGAAAAACATGATGAGGAAATCTGGGTTTACAATTACAAATTATAAGTATGAAATCGCCAACCCACATTAAGTAAGCGTAGTGATTATTGCTCAAACCATCTCCGTGCGGGATGAGGTGTTTGGTCCACTGATGATGTACCTATCTGATGAGGCTGATGATGTATCAAGACCATCATGAGATGAACGTTTAATGTTACGTTTGGCCACCGACTCACCTGGCAGTAAGCAATAATATGGAACGATGCACGTCTGCATAGTAGCAACCTACAACTATTCTATATATTATTATTTTATTTTACACTTTAATGCACACAAAATAAGGTACATAAGGCGGACTTAATGCCATATGGCATTTTCTCCCAGTCAACCTTTGGGTTAAATGTAAGCTCAGCGAAAATGGGCCTGTGTAATATCCAAAAAAAAACAAAATAAATAACTAATAGTAATAATAAATACTGTATAACATACTGTATAAAAATACTGTATAACATACTGTATATATACGTGGTTCAAGTAAATAGTGGTTATAAAACTCCCAACTGTATTCTGAGTGCCTAACAGACATCATTGCACTCCTGAAACTGCTGAAATACATCATGTAGATTTTTGAAGAGCGCAGCGATCCATTAAAGTATAGTTTACTGGGATATAAAATGGTATTTAATGTGCTAAGTCATAAGTAAAAGCTTTAGTATATGTTGTGCTATATTTATTGAGCTATGAGTGAGAAGGTGGAAGCCAAATATTAGAAAACACCCACATCGCTTAATGTAGTAATTGTCCCTGACCATGAAATTATAAATAGAACTTTAAGTAAAGTACAAATTCAGTCTTCATTTTAATCAAAATCCTAATCGAATTCGCTCTAAGCGCTTATTCATTCAATAACAGTAAAACTAAATATTAACTTTACTTAAAAATTAGTTGCGCTGTATATAAAATTGTCTACATAAGCCAGCCACGGCTTACTTTCCTCAGTTCGTAACTAAAGTAACCAAAATATAAAGTAAAAGTATATATACAGTTAAATTTTAATAACTTGTTCAATCCTAAAAATATAGCAATGAATTGTTCTAACTTTATATTAGAATCTTTACTTGTATATGTATTTCCTCTTCTTTTGTGGATGAAAGTCATATTCATCAGCACCGCTTTAACCCGGCTCCAACCCAGCAATTACTTGTCATTTGAATTTGAACATCATTTATGTCAAATAACAGATGTCGTGGATGCCCGAAGGCTTAAGACGCCCGCTTCTCATGCATGAGGGTGCTGGTTGGAACCTACCAACGGCAAGTACTAATGCGACTTTCTTCCGAGTTATGTGTATTTTCTAAGATTATCTAGACACCTATGACAAACGGTGAAGGAAAACATTGTGAGGAAACCTGGGCTTATAATTTCTAATGATAAGTTTGTAATCGGCAACCCGCATTGAGCAAGTGTGGTGATTAATGCTTAAACCTTCTCCGTGTAAGAAGAGGCTTTGCTCAGCAGTGGGCATTTATAGGCTGTTGATGATGATGTCAAATGACATATTATTTCATAACGATAATAAAAAAAAACTGCGTGAGCGCGCGGGCGGAGTATGGGCGGCGCGCGCTTACAACTACTTATTATTGTTTATTTTCTTACAGAAATGAATACGTGTCTAATATTTGTTAATTACCTAACTTACGGACTAATTAGATTTTTAATTTTCATACCCTGTCATCATCTCAATTATGTCCTGTTGTAATAAAGTGCCAGTTTGTTATTACATACCCAGTACTCTGGAGTGCATGTTGTTATTGAGAAGTAACAAAAAAAAATATTTTAATCTCACAGCTTGATCTAACTAGATATTGTTATAAAACAAAGAAATATTAAAAGTTTATTAAGCACTTACGACGACCTAAGTGTCGGATTTGAGGTATCCCTATTATCAGTAATTATAGTTAGAACCACTTAGTTATAATATTATACGAATCTCTATAGTTCAACAACCTAAGTTATTGGCCCACAATTTGGAAATCCACACTTCTCTACCCACGTACGTGGTAGGTCTCAAGTTAATCACAATGAATATTTAATTACGATCGCAGTCTCTTCGCCACTTCTATTAATAATCACAAAGGTAGGTAGTAAAAGTATCCCTTGATTAATTTCACGCCACCATATTGGATACGCGAAATTAAATTGGAAATGGTAAGCTTTGACTGCTATATCGATTGATTGGTCGCAGGTGCCTTGTAAGGGATCTTGAGTTTGATTTGTGTCGTGCAGTGTATTATTGGGAATTTTCAGTGTATTATTATCGCTCAGTAGATAATGCCATAGTTTGCAATAACCACACCCCTTATTACATGTGGGACTCATAATATAACTGTTGTAAAGGTGTTGTATTGTATATACTTACGTATAAATGTCAAGTAGGTTAAGTATTTATAATTTTTAAGTGTGGGAGAGCCATGCTTCGGCACGAATGGGCCGGGTCGACCGGAGTGATACCACGGCCTCACAGAAAACCGACGTGAAGCAACGCTTGCGTTGTGTTTCGTCGTGTGAGTGAGGTTATCGGAGGCCTAATTACCCTCCCCTTCCCCATATTCCCCAATTCCTGAATCCCCAACGATCCTTAAACTCCTAATCCCCAAAAGGCCGGTAACGCACTTGTAACGCCTCTGGTGTTCCATGTGTCCATGTGCGACGCCGATTGCTTACTATCAGGTGATCTGTGTGCCCGTTTACCGGCTTATGTCATAAAAAAAACAAGCTAGGTATATGCGTATTTCCAGTACCTCCAAGGACGAATTAGATTGTATCGAGCTGTGGAAAGTTTTTTCGTCTTCTGTGATCTTTGTTGGGCTGAGGTAAAGTTCACAGTCGCTTTGGTCGACAGGCGAAGCAAGTATTGTTTGAATTTGAATACTGACTTAGTTCTTGGTTAAACTTGTAATTAGTTGGTTGGCTTAATCAGCGCTATAACGGATATTTCGAAATAAAACTTTAGCTCCTAATGGCCGAGTTCTTATTTTACATTCAATCGATTTCGAAAGATTTAGAACAAAAATATTCTCCGAAAATGACACTGACTTTCATAAAAATGCTGCTTGCGGTGAACCCGAAACTGCAATACTTTTCTCTTATTAGGTAAAAATGAGTTTAACACTCATATTTACATTTAAATCTTAAACCTAGTTCTAGCTAAGAAGGAGGCGGGACGCGTGAGGCAGCGAAGCGCTGCCTCCTCGCAACCCAGCCATCGCGAAGGACACACCAGGCGTCGGGGATCGCGGGACGATCTCCGGCCACCGTAAGCTCGGGCCTGTGGACGGCGAGCATGGGTGGCTCCCCGTCCGACCAGAAACAAACCCAAGCGTACGGCGCGTCGCGAATGGCGAATGGCGCAAAATCTGGACGCACCTTTAGATGTCTACATGTACTAATGAATGTATAAAATAGTAATGGGAGTGGGAGCGTCGACAGAGGTGCTATGGTAGGCAAGCGTCTGTGTCGCTCGTAAAATATGTATTAATTGATGTGACGATCTTGTTCCCCGAGGACATACACGGCATATGTACTCGATGGAGTAATAATGAACTTTACGAATGTTTCACAATGTTTATTATGGTTACCTGGGTTATTCAGCTGGTGATCGACATTAAAGCTATATATATTATATATGTCGCAGAATCAATAAAGATGCACACCTATCGAGTATCGTTATTTTAGAACAACGCCATCTGTTATCATTTGTCGGAAACGTCAAGCAGTGTGCTTGGGTGATGGTCGGTACGGGGCGTGGCATGTTGGCATTGGAAAGGCGTCACTTTTGAGTTGGACACGAGGGTGAGCGGTTGTTCTGCCAGCCCGTACCGAACTTACCGCGTTTTCCGAAGTACCCCCAATGGGTGCATTTTCTCCGACATATATATATACTTTTTTGTGTTTTGAAAGGCAAAAGGAGTATTTTTTAGTTTCTCGGTAAAATTAACTATATTGGTTTTAAAAGAGATTGATAAAGTGGAATATAAATTGGATTAAAAACAAGTTACATTGTTATCATTATCATCTAATAATCTAGTCACAAATCACAAAAACATTGTTTGGTACTACATAAGTTCGATATCATTACCTACTTCTCCGTACTAGAATCTCCACAAAGAGTTCAGCTATAAAAGCCCACATTCAATTTACAAAGTAGCAAAGGCCACATTAATTCAAATAAATGTAAAACTTACAAGTACTCAAATAAAATTTAGGCATTCCAATTTCATTCAAAGAAGATAAAAAGTTTGTTACGAATGTGAAATTGCTGGAAGTAAACTTCTCCCGCAATAATTTTTGGCGAACCGAGTGGACTTAATTCTCATTATGCTCCTTCGAATTTTGGCTCTATAAAATACGTATCCTAAGACCTGGATCACCATAAATTTTCGATAGGAACGTATCTAAGAGTAATTTTGATAAATTATTTAAGTACAAATAAAACGGTATTTTAATTTATGACTTGGGCTTTAGTCTTTAGAGATTAATTTATGCTTCTATGGA